TTCCTTTGGCAAGGCAATAAGGAGAAAAAGGTCTTCGATTTAGTCAATTGGAAGACGCTAACAATGGATAAAAAACAAGGTGGAATGGGGATTAGGAATTTGAAGAACCAAAGCAAGGCTCTTAGAATTAAATGGTTATGGAAGTACTCTAAAGAACCCCAATCTTTATGGTCCAAAGTGATCAAAGCAAAGTATGGTGAAGAAAACAACTGGGTGTCAAAAAAAGTCAGAACATCACATGGAGTAAGTGTGTGGAAATCCATCAGAGAACCTTGGCCAATAATGAAGAATCATTCCTCCATAAGAGTGAACAACGGAAGGAACACATCATTTTGGAGTGATAACTGGTTAGGAATTGGAAGCTTAAAGGAAAGATACCCAGATATGTTCGTTGTTGCACAAAACCAGCATAAGACAGTAGCTGAAATGAGGAGTTGTCATGGATGGGAAATAGCTCTAAGAAGAGAGCTGAATGACTGGGAGATAATAAGACTAACTGACCTCTACAAAGAGCTGGAAGCATTTACAGGATTACAGGAAGGTTTGGATTCAATATGGTGGAAGAGGCACAACAGAGGGGTTTACCGAGTGAAGGATGCATATAAGATTTTGAATCATGATAATCAACAGGTAGACACATGGCCTTGGAAACATATATGGAAAACAAAGATTCCATACAAGGTAGCTTGCTTCACTTGGCTACTAGCAAAGGAGGGGTTTTAACCCAGGATAATCTCATAAAAAGGGGAATATCTCTGTGTTCAAGATGTTTTCTGTGTGGAGAAAATGCAGAAACTGTCAACCATTTGTTTCTACATTGCAAGATTACAGACCACTATGGAAAATCTTTATAAGTCTTAGGGGTATTTCATGGTCAATGTCATACAAGATTAAAGATGTCATTTATAGTTGGGAAGTAGCTGGAGCTGAAGCAACTAGCAGAGATAGATGGAGGACTGTTCCGGCTTGTATTTGGTGGACAGTCTGGAGGGAAAGGAACACTAGATGTTTTGAAGACAGAAGCAATCCACTGCAGAAGATCAAACTCAATTGTATTCTTCTATTTTGTTTTTGGTGCAAACAGATGTACACAGAAGATACATTGACAATCATAGACATACTAGGATCCTGCTAGGTTTTAAATTAGAATATCTTCAAATTCTCTCTATGTAAATTTGGTTTTCAGTGCAACCTATGTACTGATTTTTATAATATATACAATAGTTACCAATTCAAAAAAAAAATAGTGACCACTTTAATCTCAAGGGAACATCACTGTAATGATTTCAGGTTTAAATCCATCTGTTATTGGGGGCTTCAGTGGAATATGTGCTTTAATGGGCGTCGCAGCAACATTTGTCTCTGCAAAGATGGTCAAGCACCTTGGCATCTTAAGGGTTGGTTCTGCTTCTTATATGTTTCTTGTTCTTGTCAGAAATAGTGTCCTCTTATCATTCACAGTCTGGGTCTAACTTTCATGAATTTTAAAATATCAGGCTGGAGCTGCTGGCCTAATTTTCCAGGCTTCGCTTCTGACCACAGCTGTTGCTGTCTACTGGAGTGGATCTCTTTCTCAGCAGACTCCCGTTTTCTTTTTCTTGGCTTTAGTTGTAAGTTATTGCTCTTGTTATTTTTGCTTTAAATGAGAATTTTTTGTGGCCAACTATATAACCTTTTATTTGCATTTAAAGAACCTATTTTTGAAAGTGCTTTATCTTTCGACAGATTGCTTCATGAGAATTTTATATTCATCTAGTTTCGTTGGCATGCTCTGGTACTTGTATGATTTAGTGACTGTAAAGATGATCTGAAATTGGATAATTGTTATCGTAAGTTCAAGAAGACTTATGTTGACTATTTCACAGGTATTGTCAAGACTGGGACACATGTCCTATGATGTCATTGGGCAACAGATTCTACAAACTGGAATACCTGCATCTAAGGCTAATCTTGTAGGAACAACCGAGGTTGCTGTTGCAAGTTTAGCAGAATCAATCATGTTAGGAGTTGCAATAATTGTTAATGATGTCTCACATTTTGGATTTCTAGCGACACTTTCCCTTGTATCAGTAGTTGGGGCAGCATGTCTATACTGTAGATGGTTGGAAAGTCCGACAGATACACAAAGGACTCTTTTCTCTTTTAGCCCTCATTTTTGAAATGCCAAAAATAAGTAGCAAGTAGTTGTAAATTCTTCTGTAGCATGGTTTTAGTCATCATATTGAAAGTTGTACATCCCAATTGAACTGCATCCAGTATGGCTTTTGTAAATAGTTACTACTATATCAGCTAACATTCATTTTATATAAAAGTTGTGAAGTACTCATTTGAAGTGAAGTAGGATCTTTCAAGTTTTTGTATGGATTTGTTAAGTCGGACATATGTGAGATAGAAGCTTTAATTATTTCATGCTGCAGCAATTTTTTACCCCATCCCTCCATCTCTAAGGACAATAATTTCCATCAGTTTTGCGGACGTGACATCCTTGTATAACTCTCTATTTATCTCGGTGCAAGACTGTTAATATTAGCATGTCCACTGAGGCTGTATTTTTTTATACTTCTCCTGGGGCTTGAGTTGCCCGAACTGTTCGATTTCTAGCTATGTAGTGAATTGCATGCCATGATCAGAGATGACTCCTTTGTGATAAGTACTATGCTTTTGTTACCTGGCCATCCAGGTGAGAATTGAAAAATAATTATGCCTAAGATATCTAAACAGTTGTACATATATTCAGGCAATATGTGAAGTGGGGATTTATCAAAAGTTGGTCCCCCCCCCCCCCCC